TGAAAATAAAAACGACGCCAACAGCAACGTGAAATAATGGCGATTACCAAACCCAGCGGCGTGGCGTTGACGACGATCGGCGTCCGCCGCTTAGTCCGGACGCAGCCCGTTCGCCCGCCGAGGGTTTTATTTTTGTTTTTGCCTTGCGCGGCGAGCGAGCGAGCGAAGCGGCGGTGTCACGCGCGGCTTGCACAAATAGAAGGGGGGCATTTAATTAGAAGGAGTGGTTGGATGCCACAATCTCATTACCGCTTCCCCCAAATTGGAAGCTTCCCCTCCTCGACCGGGAATACCGGGATCTTCCCCCCACCCCCCCCCCCCCCACCCCACCCCACCCCTCCCTCAGCCCTCCGCTATTCCCTGCAAAACGACCCCAGGGGAGCACAAGCGCCGTATCCGCAGCGTGCTCGCTGGCTCGCGCGCCACGTGCCCGCGTAGTTTTTGTCGTTGCGCGTGCGTCGTCACCAGGGCGGGGAGCGGCGGCGCAGCGGTCAGCCCGCCCGCCCGCCCGCCCCACGAACCCGGCGGCCCGAGTTGGACTCGATTCCCAGCTCGCGGCCAAAGCAAACGTCCGTGGCGATCGTGCGAGTCGGTCCGGGCCTTCCCTCGGTCGGCAGAACGAGCCTCAAAACGGCCCGCTCGGCGCGGAGAGGGCATCGGCGCTGGGGCGGCAGAGGCGGCCGAGGCGCGGTTATTCGGCCCGCGCCAAACGGCCCGCTCGGGGGTTACGACTGCGGCGGCGGCGGCGGCGGCGGCGTCGCCTTCGTCCGCGGAGTTCGTCGGAGTCGTTGGCGGTTCCGCCGTGCGCCGCTGTGACCGCGTTTTAAATCGTCCCTCGCTACTCCCGCGCCGCTCTCTCGCCCCGCTTTCGATGCGTCGCCGAGACAAACGCAACGGGGCCGCACGCTCTTGCGATGGTTGGAACAAACGCGGGAACACGTGTCCGCTGGTTTTTCTTTTTTGTTGTTGTTAAGCGCTGGATGGCTTGAATTTTTTGCTCGCACTTTTGCCTCCTTTTTTTTTATCGAGAATACAAAATGAGGCCGGGACTTATTCTATCCGTGTAATATTATTTCTTATCCCGTTTGTCATCCCGCCGGTGGGTGAAGGCCGCTTCTCAGCCTGCGCCTTGGTCCTGGGTGGGTTGTTTGACCATGCCTCACCACGCTGGTCAGCGCGGGTTGGTGAAGAGCTGGGTGGATGTCGGTGGGTGTGAGTGGGTGTGAGTGGGTGGGTGGGTGGGTGTGGGTGGGTGGGTGTGGGTGGGTGGGTGTGGGTGAGTGTGGGTGTGAGTGGGTGTGAGTGGGTGGGTGGGTGTGGGTGGGTGGGTGTGGGTGAGTGTGGGTGGGTGTGAGTGGGTGTGAGTGGGTGTGAGTGGGTGGGTGGGTGTGGGTGGGTGGATGTCGGTGGGTGTGAGTGGGTGTGAGTGGGTGGGTGGGTGTGGGTGGGTGGGTGTGAGTGGGTGGGTGGGTGTGGGTGGGTGGGTGTGAGTGGGGGTGGGTGGGTGTGGGTGGGTGTGAGTGGGTGGGTGGTTGTGGGTGTGAGTGGGTGGGTGTGGGTGGGGGTGGGTGGGTGTGGGTGGGTGTGAGTGGGTGTGAGTGGGTGTGGGTGGGTGGGTGGGTGTGGGTGGGGGTGGGTGGGTGTAGGTGGGTGTGAGTGGGTGTGGGTGAGTGTGGGTGTGAGTGGGTGGGGGTGAGTGGGTGTGGGTGGGTGGGTGTGAGTGGGTGTGGGTGGGGGTGGGGGTTGACGTCTTTGGCACAGGTTGAACCCGAGTGATTGGGTTCACAGCCCAGTGCGCTAACTGTCGGCCCACTGCTCCCCCTCTGTGCGTCCCCACCACACACACGGTGATTGAAATGTGAAATTATTACCGATTCAGTCCCCATCCCTCCCCTGCGCACGGACCCACGGAATTAAACACTTGGGAGGCATTTTAACTCCGAACATTACATTTCCTTGATATTCTTTATCTCCCCCCCTCCCCTCATTTATCATCATCATCATCCGCCGTTGTCTATCCACTGCTGGATGGAGGCCTCCCGACGTCCAATCTCATTGCGGGCTGGCGCGGCCGCTAAATCCATCTCGTCTCTGTGCACGAACCGAACTAATTGAGCCATCTCCGTGGGGTGTCTTCTTCGTGTTCTCCTGCTCGAGTTTGCTCTCCTGCGGCCGGCAATTTCCGTCACCGGGTCTCCTCCGACCGCCACAATTCCGTGGTGGAGGCTCGCGAAGGACGCTAGTCGGAGGGCGGAGGAGCCACGCTCACAACAACGGGCGGAGCACCGGGGCGGATAAACGGCGGCGAGTTGGCACAGTCGGGCACAGGTGGGCGGTGCATCTGCCAGCCATCTCAGTCGGTCAACCCGTGGCGCCCGTGCTCAGTCCATGGCCTCCTGCCAGCGAGCGAGCCTTCGACACTTCACGTGATAGCCTCAAGCAAGGTGCGCCTAGCCTGGCGCAAGAGAATCGTGGCGACGTCGCCGCCACTTCGCGGCGAACGGCCGTCCTCGTTGCCGCCGCTGCTGCTGCTGCTGCTGCTACTACTGCTGCTACTACTGCTACTGCTGCTACTACTGCTACTGCTGCTACTACTGTTACTGCTGCTACTACTGCTACTGCTGCTGCTACTACTGCTTCTACTACTACTGCTGCTGCTGCTACTACTGCTACTGCTACTACTGCTACTGCTGCAACTACTACTCCTGCTACTACTGCTGCTACTACTACTACTGCTGCTACTACTGCTACTATTGCTACTGCTGCTACTACTACTGCTGCTACTACTGCTGCTACTACTACTACTGCTGCTACTACTACTACTGCTGCTACTGCTGCTGCTACTACTACTACTGCTGCTACTACTGCTACTACTGCTGTTACTACTGCTGCTACTACTACTGCTACTACTACTGCTGCTGCTGCCGCTGCTGCTGCTGCTGCTGTCGCACAACCTATCCGCCCCGTCAAAGCAGCCCCACGTCTTGGGAGCACGGTCTCCCTCCCGGCACGGGCACCACGCCGCTCGTCGCACCGCGTCGCGGGCCGCGGACGTTGGGCCCACAGCCACGCCGGGACGTCTCTGGAACGATTCGCTACTGGCCGCACATTTGACGAGCTTGGGGGGGGTTGGGGGGGGGTAACAAAAGACGGTCCGACAGCACAGTGGGCCCGTCGCCGCTACGAGACCCGCCACGGTAGTTGAACAGCAAGGAAAGAAGACGCGCCACCACTTTCACAGCCCCCCAACGCCCCCGTCGCATTTTTCCGGATCCCCCCCCCCCCCCCGCCACGCCGCGCGTTTCTTTTTGGGCTCGCGCGGCGCTCGCGCATTCTGGCTGCGGCGTGGCGTTGAGAGAGACGGATGGGTCGCTGGTAGCTGGCTAAAGAGACGCTCCCGGCGCGAAAAAGTCTATCCTTCGTGCATTAATCGCGGGCGCGGCCAAGACCCGGTATTGAGCGCTGTCGCACGCACGCAGCCCGATTATCCCCCATGATGGCATCGATCGCTCGACCCCTTCCACCCGACCCCCCTTCGCCCACCCGCCCACCCACCAACCCGAGCCCTTAACCCTCTCCGCCCCCGCATCCCTTGCCGCCGGCGCCATCGGCGAGCCTTCCCCACCCCCCTCCCCCCCCCGCGGCACGAACTCGGCATCGCCGAGCGAATTCTCCCGTAGCCGCGCCCGCCCGATGCCTCCCGCGACCCTCGTGGCCATTTGCCGGGTGTCCCTGGGGGGGGCGTCCCTGGGGGGCGCTCCCCCTCTGCTCTCCCACTCCTCCGCCCCCCCCCCCCCTCCGCGCTGCGGTGGTTTGGAGAGAATCAATCGGTTCCCGTCCGTCACACGGTTAACCCCGTTCCGTCTGAGCTCGTCCGTCCACCTGGGGTCGTTCCTGCCACAGCGGCCCTCTTTACGATTTTCAAACGTGGCCTTTGTATTTTTATATATGTATACGTGCTATTTTGCGCGTGGCCCAATATTGCCTTTCTTTTTTAAAAGCTCCACCGCATTTTTACCGTTGTTTGTAATTTAAACTCGGTGGTAGGCTTCCCCCCCCCCCCCCCCCACTCCTCAAAATGTTGATGATCAGGGCCACCGCCGCACACGGTGTGTTTACGTTTACGAAGTTTTATTTTAAGTGCTGGGGGTGGGGGGGCGCGTGGGGGTTCCCATCTCCGCCGATGCCACTTTTTGTCCGGCTTGGCAGCTCTGGATGGGCCGGGCAAAAAGCCATTAAGAGGGGGGGGGGGGGGGCACGCTTGCCCCATCCACAACTCCGGGCGCGTGCGTCGCTGGAAACATTCACGGAGGGGGCGGCTCGTGTGCACGCGTGTGCCAACGCAGGCAAACAAAATCACATCATCATTGTTGTGATTACTGCTGTTGTTTTGTTCTGTTCGTCTCCTGTTACGCTTTGATCACCGACCACGATATTTCTCACTGCTATTAAAAGTCCTTTCTCCTCCTTCCCCGCTCGGCTGCCCGCGACATCCCGGTTTCTACCGCACGCAGCCCATGGGCACGAGCGCGCATTGCAGAACCTCTCCCTCCCAAATCTCAACTTTTTTTTCTTTTTGCCGTCTGCGAGATAAATCATTAAGGGCTTTCGAATTAAGCAACATTTCTCCAGCGCTGTCTCTCGGGGGCTCGGCTGGCCCCAGTGCATCGTGGGAGGGAAGAGCAACCTCGTTTGTGTAGTATTGACTTTTTCCCTTCCGCAAGTCGATTTTTGCAGAAGCCGGAGCGCAGTTGTGTGCGTGCGTCCGTGCTGGCTGGCGGGCGAGCGGACGGACGCGGGGCCCAGCGCCATGATCCGAAGAGCAGCCGCCTCTCCATGTTCAATCTTCGCGAAGGAAAGGAAAAAAAATTAACGTCGTCATATATGTTTCTCTACCCGAGCCGTGCCGTTAATTGCCGCGGCGTACCTGATCTCCGTATTAATTGTAATCGCGAGCCTGGTCTTGCGCGCGGACGGGTGGTGGGTGGAAAGGTGGGGGGGGGGGGGGGGGGGGGGGGGAGTGCGGCAAAAAAACCAAGGAGAGAGTATTGACGAGTAGAGTCGCGGACGCGAAATAAAATTAAAAAAAAGGGGGCGATGCCTCGAAAAGTATTGACAAAATCGCGGAAGCGTTGACGCCGCCGCCAGCCGGTGCCGCCGGTTTTTGGGTCCCCGCCGTCACGCAGGGGACGTGCGCTGGGCCGGCCGGCGGGCGGGCGGGCGGGCGGGCGGGCGAGCCGTGTCGTGGAGGAATGCCGCTCCCGTCGGCCCTGACCGGGCCTCCGGCGCCAAGAAACCGGGGATTGTACGCGGCGGCCCGGGAGCGGCACAGTGGCGGCACGGCGGACGGACGGACGGACGCCGGCATCGTCGGCTCGGCGCCCTCGCAGACTCCACCCTCGCAGACTCCTACCGCTGCCGCCGCTGCCAAGCCCCGCTTCCGTAAGTACTGCGCTGCCGTGCGTCGCCGTGTGGCACCGGAGTGGGGGTACCGCGAGGAAATGGGCGACGTTACGCCTGATGGAGAACCAACCGGGAGTTCCCCCCCCCCCCCCGCCCCGGTTCTTCCTGGTGCGGTGACGCACGCCACTGCCGCTGCGTCATTTTTGTTGTGAACGGCAGCGAAGGAATCGCTTCAAATATCCTCGCCGTGTTCAGCCGTTCTTTGTTCGCCGCTGGATAAAAGCCTCGCCTGTGCAGCCGAGCTCAACCTTGGCTCGCTCGCCCGCTCGCTCGGTCTCGCGCGCCGATTTCATCAGCGCACTCCGTCTCCCGTCAGCTCTCTATGCCTCTCGTGGCTGCTGTGCCATTGGCCACCATATTTTTGAACGTGCGCGCGCGCGCGTGAGCGATGAGTACTCCGTAAAACGGTTCAAGTTTTACACGGGGCGTCCTTGGGTATCTCACGGCGGTGGCACCGCACGGCCGCGCCTTTTTTTTCTTTCTTTATTCCTCTCGCAGGAATCTCCGGCTAGACGTCTCTCCGCTTTGGACCTCATGAGAACGAACGGGGAGGTGGGGGTGGGGGGGGGGGGAAGGGTTTCTTCGTATCGGAGCCCGTAAAAAAAGGGTTGGCTGTGCGTTTGGAGAGTGTCCCCCCCCCCCCCCCCCCCCCCTCTGCCCCCGCCCGGCGTCGTTCGGCGTCGGCGTCGTTCGGCGTCGGCGTCGTTCGGCGTCGGCGGCGGCGCTTTTATGGGCGAGGTCGGGCAAGCGCGCTCCGCCGTCTTGCGCGCGCCATCGCGTTCTGGAGACACTCGTTAGAGCGTGCCGTCGCCCCCTCCAATTCCACATTTAAATTCCTCTTTTTGCCGCGCGTATATCGGAGGTGGTGGGCTGGCAGATGAGGCGGCGGCGGTGGTGGTGGTGGTCGTGGTGGTGGTGGTCGTGGTGGTGGTCGTGGTGGTGGTGGTCGTGGTGGTGGTTGGGGTGGGGGGGGGTGGAATATCCGCTGTTGGCAGATCCCATTATGTGAGGTGTCCAGGTGCTGCCGGGGGAAATGGCTCCTCCTGTGCGTGAAGTGAATCGTGGACGATAGGAATTGAGTTGACCATCTGACGTCCCTCGGCCGTGAGCACGTGCGGACGGTGGGGTCGCTTGAGGGCTTCTGGGCGACTCGAACCTCGCGGGTGAAAGTGGGGCGCCGGGGTGGCTAGGAGATGTTAACTACCTCGCCTGGTATACAGGAGGTCGTGAGTTCGATCCCGACCCTGACGCCTGCTGCTGCTGCTGTATATTTGGAGTTTGCGTGTCTCTCTCTCTCTCATCACCACGGTGGTTAGGAGATGTTAACTACCTCGCCTGGTATACAGGAGGTCATGGGTTCGATCCCGACCCTGACGCCTGCTGCTGTATATTTGGAGTTTGCGTGTCTCTCTCTCTCTTTCTCTCCGTGTGGTCGCGTGGATTTTTCTCCGGGTGCTCCTGTTTTTCCCTCCACATTTTGAAACAACGTGTTGTGAGTTTTTGGCTGCTGCTTTAAGTTTCGACGTGATAATGATGATGATGATAATAGAGTATTTGGCTGCTTTTTTTTGCTATCATTTGTGATAACCAGGTCGCTTCTGAAAAAGAGCGAGATAGCTCAGCGGGGGCCTTACCTGGTAAAATAAAAAATACTTTTTTTTTAGTAGTGGTCTCTGTGGGTCGGTGTGGGTCTATGGATATCTGTGGGTCTATGAGTCTCTGTGGGTCTATGGGTCTCTTTGAGTATGGGTCTCTGTAGGTCAATATAAGTTTCTATGAGTCTGTAGAAAGACGCGTTTAGAGTTTTTGGCTGCTATCAATTTCCACATTATGATGATGATGACAAGCCACTTCGTTGGGCTATCATTTGTGATAACCAGGTCGCTCCTGAAAAAATATCTACATGGCAACTCAGTGGGGCCTTAGCCTGGTAAAATAAACAATAATGTGTATTTTATTTTTAATAGAAAGCTCGAATAATCGGGTCAGAGACGCAAGTGCCATGAGTTGATTGTCTCTGCCCGCCCACCAGAGCCTTACTTCTAGACCCATAGACTCACAGAGAGACACACATAAACGGACAGAGACCCATGCAATTACATACAGGCCCACGGACTCGTGTTAAGACGCATAGACTCACACAGAGACCATAGACTCGCACACGGACTTTAGACTGACATAGAGATGCATAGACTCGCATAGAGACCCATAGACTCGCATAGATACCCATAGACTCACATAGACACACACAGACTCACATAGAGACCCACGGACTCACACAGAGACTATAGACTCACGTAGAGATACATAGATTCACAAAGGACCCATAGACTCGCATAGAGACCCAGAGACTCGCATAGAGACCCAGAAACTCGCATAGAGACCTAGTGAATCACATGGAGACCCAGTGACTCGCATAGAGACCCAGAGACTCGCATAGAGACCTAGCGAATCACATGGAGACCCAGTGACTCGCATAGATACCCAGAGACTCGCATAGAGACCCAGAGACTCGCATAGAGACCCAGAGACTCACATAGAGACCCGTAGGCTCACACGCAAACTGAGCTGTGATTAAATCGGGTTCTCAAGCGTAGCCAGTTGACGCCCTCAATCACCATCACCAATTGACTGCACAAAATCCATCGCGTTAAATTTATTCGTGCACTTCGCTTGGCTAAATTCCGGCGCCGAGAATTAGAAATATTGATTTGACCGCCGTAAGGCGGTGGGGACAATGTTCCCCTTGGCGGCGGGCTTTTGGGAAGCGCTCCGAGAGGCGAACCTCCCTTGCGCTGACGAGCAGCGGTCACTCGGAGGTAGCTCCGTGATGTCTACTTTGGCGGTGGGTGGGGGGGGGGGGGGGTCAATGCCGTGCGGGAGATCCGAGTAGATACGTCATTGGGATTAAGCGCGATTAAGTTGGGGAGGTGGGAGGAAAAGCCAAGGCCGATGGAAATGAGAAATTTGGCACTGTAGCCGTGAAAAATGAACGCGGAGTTTTTGCAAATCCATTCGTGGCTATGGATTAATAGGAAGGGACAGACAAATAGGGTCGCGGTGGTATCGCTTGGAGCTAGATTCTCGTCGTGACGGGATGCTGTCCGTTTTAAACGTCCGATCTGTGCTGGGTGAAAACTTGTCCCGGCGTCTCCGTTGCGGACGGCGGCTGAAGGAGAAATGTCGGGGCACGGAAACGGCGCGTGGCGTCCCTCGCGGAGGGAGCGCTGCGTCACGTGGTCCCGGTTATTTACAAAACCCTCGGCGGGCTTCCACCGGCGACTTTTTTTTTCCCCTGGAGCCGACGGAGTCGCGTCGTTCCCCTCCGCCCGGCTCCATGTCGAACTCTTGTCTCGTCTGAAACGCTCGCGCTCTCGCGCGCGCCGTCAAAGTCCTCGACAAAAGAATACCGGGTGGCTGTCCCCGTTGACGGGGTGGGGGAGGGGGGGGCGGGGGTTATCGCGTCGGGTGGCCCAAAATTGCGGGCCAAAATCAATGTGTGCAAAATAATGTTTTTACCCTTCCTGGCAATAAAACAGCAAAACAGTTGTGTTGAGGTGTTCGCCCTTTGGCGTCCTCTGGTCTGACACTGGTCGTGAGACTGGGCCATGAAGAAGCCTGCAGCTGTCTCAGTTTCAAAGACAATGAATGCAACATTATTATCAGAGCCATGTTTGTTTGCATGTTCACCACAAGTACCTTGCAAAAGGTGTCTCTTTTGTGTTTGAACATCTCAATAAAACAATTTTATTGTTTCATATTTTCATTATTTTCTTGTTTCCCTTCTACGTGGTGACTTTACCGAAAGAACCAAGAATATGAATCCCTGCAGTCACGAAAGCTTTAAATCAGAAGTCCCGTCAACAATCGACGTGCTATTTCGGTCGCTTTGAGCTCTTTTTCCCAATCGTGCAACGGAGCCGCGCCGACTCCCCACCGTAGAAGCGTAGCTGAGAGCCGTGCTGCCCCCCCGGAGCCCGGTGAGAAATCGCGTGTCGCGAGGGCCAGCGTAGTAGCGCGGTTTTGCTCTGGCCTCGGCAAAGGATCCTCGCCGGCTCGGCTCGGACGTACCGGTGGAAAAGAGGGAGTGGGGGTGGAACCGGTTTAAATCTGCGGACGCTTCTCGCGCCCATCCCATTGCCTCTTTGCGTGCGTACTCTCTCGTCTCTCGTTCCCAAGGCTCCTTACCCTCCTCCGCGTCCTCCTCCCCCCTTTGCGTAACTCTCCCAGGTCTCCCTCTGTTCACTCCCGGCGGATTCCACTGCGCCGCTCCCTCCCGAGCTGGTGAAGTGAAGGACGCCCGTCGTGGTGGGAGGAGGAAGAGGGCCCGGGCGCAGGCCTTCTTGTTAGGCCGCACTTTGAGGCCAGACTCGAGAAGATGAGATGCTCATTCGAAGCAAAGGCTTCCTTCCGCAGGCTATGCAATGGTGGGAGGTTGATGGGGGGGGGGGGGTGGAGAATTATGGGCCCCGGCAGCAGCCTTCGAGTTGACCACGAGCCACTTGGCACTGATTGCTAATGGCGGTTACCGTGGTGACGGTGGCGATGTCACTGCACATCGGCTCGCCGGTCATTGACAGCTGACGCCGCTCCAACGAGCCGTCGTATCTTCAAACGAGCGTCATCATCGTTTTGAGCATCGGTCGTTGCCTACCCACCGTTGGACGAAGGCTTCCTTCTGCTCTCACTGTGCACTCCTCCTCCAACTCCATCTCTCTACTCATCTTCTGTCTACTTCCTCCATCCTCCATCCATCTCCTGATCCTCCATCTCCTGAACCACCACCTCCTCCTCCTCCTCCCTCCTTCTCCCCCTCCAACTGCATCTCTCTACTCATCCTCTGTCCATCTTCTCCATCTGCCACTGCACGTCACAACATCACACTCACCAACTCGGCAACCCCCAACTCACTCGCCACGCCGCAGTTCACCCCACGTCTCTTCCCGTGCAACTGCTCCGCTCTTCAGTTCCATCCTCCC